AACAACAGCAACATATCTATACATATCTATGAAGCCCCTCATTGAGTTTGCATCCACATAGAAAGAATCTGACAAGTATAATATCAAGTAGTGATAACTGAGGGGCAAAAGCAAAATAAGGGGATAGCAGTAGGGGAGGATGACCCTCTAAATGAGTGAACCATGGACATGTCTAGAGAAAAGCATCCTAGGATGACGAGCACAATAAATGAGTGCAAAGGTACTGAGGTAGAGAAAGAGTTGGGAAACGAGATCTAAGAGAACAGCCCAGGCTAATTCAGCGAACTTTGATACCAAAATTATAATAAAAATCTTGTTAAGAACCTTGGCTAACACTCTAGTTAAAGTCAAAAGGCAATAGAAAGTTGTTAGCAGAAAAAAATAGGGCCACAACGTTGTAAAATGCACAAAGACACCCCAGTTAAGATGGCATCATTCATAACTTTTGGTTTGTTGTTGTTACATGCCATCAAGTCTTTTCTTACTCATAGCAACCCTGTGTAGGGTTTCCGAGGAGAAGCTGGTGGGTTTGAGCCACCATCCTTGAGGTTAGCAGTCCATGACTCATGCCAGGACTTCATTCATAACTTAGACGTTATAATTTGTATGTGTATTATGACAGTTTTCCACAAATAGCAATGAAGTATTTCTTTAAATCAGCATATTTTAATAATATTTTTACAGAGCAAAGGGAAGTATCTTAATTTTCCAAGGCTCCTTGTGGACTAGTGAGGGTTCTGGGAGGAGGAATTTGTATTAAATATAAGTCACTTATGGCATAACTTGTATTTCTGAAGTCACTCTGGCTGCTGCATAGATGCTAGACTAAAGGCTGATAAGAAAAAGTTAGTGGGATCACTTTGGAGGATACTGCAAGAATCCAAGTGTGACTGCAGTGGCTTTTGAACTAAGGAGTCAACAACAGAAATGATGAGAAAGTGATGAAAATGTGAGAGAAAAGCCAGTTGGGGAAAGAAAGGAGCATATGTAAAATGCCTAACAAACTAACTGAAATAATTGTTGTTGTTGTTGTTGTTAAGTGCCATCAACTTGGTTCTGACCCATAGTGACCCTGTATATGGTTTTCTAGGAGCTGCTGGTGAACTTGAACCACCAACCTTGGGTTCAAACTGACTTTGCTGTCCAGTGCATTAAACCACAGTGCCACACCAGGACATAATAGGTGATCAAAAACATGAGTCCCTTTTTTCCTCAAAACAATTTCATCTCTCTTTAAGAAACAAATAGATGAGCATTATGCTCAAACACCAGACAAATCTTTAGTGTTACATAAAATAAAATAGAACCAAACTATACCTGAGAATAAAGAAAGGCTCCACCATG